GTGAAGAAAAAAACTTCTGGGGGAATGTTCCATGAACAAAGTGTCTTTGTCATTGCACCTCTGTATATTGACTTCAGTTGAAAAGTGTTGAGGCCTGAGGCTGACAATATCATATGTCATGTTCGTGATCAGAGCAACGAATAAGCCTATATGCGAAGTTACAACGAGAATTTCCTGAGTTTTCAAGGCATACCATATGACATAGTGTCTCGAAGAAGCTCTGGATACAAAGGGGCGATATCTGCGAGAACTTATTGAGCCAATGCGCAGTGTCTCGTTGGTGGATCGAAACAGCGTCAAGATTTCTGTCTCGCCTTGCGGAGTGAATTGATTTTGTAAACATGCGCCTCCCTTTTGAACAAATGTACAGGGGGGGCAAAAAATGTCACTTCGACTCGAGGTCACATATCTGCAAAGTTTTTGCTGCACAGACCATGAGTACTGGATGCGGATCACCAAGGGCGCGGAGATACCCAAAATGTTCCTCTACAAGCAGGAGCTGGCTCTCGCCCATCACCTTCATGTACACCAAAATATGAAGTCATCTCCAGTCGCAGCCTGACTGGAGAAGACCTTTGGAATTCATGTCACCTCCAAACAGCTGCGAAACTTCTAATGGAGTCACCCATGGATAGCTACCAGGAGACCATACTCTCGATAATCATGGATGCCTTCGACGTCTCCGACAACTGCCACCTTCTAGCACAATCATCTGTCACCGCCAGTCGCCAAGGCGCCATTGATGGTGACCGGATGTACCTGAATGCGAAAGACCAATATTTCCTTCAGTCGACCCCGGACTGAAGGAGCGCTGGCGTTACATAGGGCAACTCTACAATATCCGCTGCCTCCATGTCTGTCGCCCAATACCTTCTTGAAACTTTGTACTGCTACCGGCTGAGTGCCCCACATGAATCGAAAGGCGTTGGAGAAAACACTCGTCTACCTTGGACTGTCTACTAAGGTGCTGAAGTATCCTAAATGAAGGATATCAAGTAGTCAACCTGACCTGAATACCCTCAATTTAACCCGGCTCCGCGAGAGATTCAACAGAGTGCCTTACGGGTGCGAGAAGTCCACTATCTCGCTAATCTCACGGCCACCGCAATCGCGGTCGCGTGCAGAATCTCGTCAGATATCGCTCGTCCAGAGCGTGGCGGAAAGTGTCATGATAGCATTTATATGCTCTTTTAAAATGGTGGTAAAAATTTCGATCAGATTGATAAAGTGACGATAGCCCTCGAAGAGTCCAATGAAGAAAAAAATGACTTTTTCTTTGGCTTCCCCCTGTAATATCGTAAAATAACTATATGGAAGCAGAATTACTAGTGCCGACGAGCCGCAATAAAAAAAATTAGTAAGTAACTTGTATCCACCTACTACAGATCCTTGAATTTGATGCCAAAACCAAACCTTCGCCACTTCATTGTCAAGAGCCGCGAATGTGGGACAGCCCTGAGATTGTGGACGGGACTATTTGAACAAGTAAAGATTTCAATGAACCGCTCGGGCATTGTTTTGAGCGTTGCAGCACATCCCAGTTTGCATTTCAAGCTTCGCCTACCTACACCTTTTCAACCGCAAAGACGTACAGGTAACAGTGGCAGGACAGCAGATGGCGATCGTACCTAGTGCCTCCCAGCTGTAGAAGAAGAACCGAGGTAAACGATGCTTGATGCGCGCAAGGGTAGACATTGAGGTTTTGCCAGGATTGAAGGTTGCTCCATGCAATAATATTCTACGCTGCATTCAAACCCATCCACGTCATATACCAGCAAACTGTATGACTAAAGCTCAAGCTACCTCTCCCAGTGTTCATACGGGAACACTGCCACTCTTCCCTCTGGAGTCACTGTGAGGTTTTTCAAATTTTAGAATATTTATTTGCAACAGCTAATGTCTTAATTAAAACATTCACGCCAAAATCACATAAATCAAGCAAGACGACTGACAGGTTAGTACAAGCGAAAACTCGAACCATCTACATGCATCTTCACTCGTTTAAAATACAGATGGAATAATTCCTGGAAATCTCAATATAATTTGGATTAAAAGCGAGTGAGTTACAAATGTGGGAGTCCGTGTTTGGCGAGTTGTTGCTGGCATTCGTCGTTGAATGTGGTGCCCAGCTTCTCCCATGCAGCTTTCTGATCACCACTCAAAGCAATTCCACGACCTTCCTAGGAATGCCGTAAAGATGCCCCAGAACGCCTTAATAGAAGTATTTCAAGCATGACTCGGCAGTGAAGGTTCCCTGCAAGTGCAGGGGCAGGGTCGAGCTATGTAAGGTTTGGATTCCATGAAAGAAAATGTTTCAGAGACTGGTTTCGTAGGTTTCTACCTGCCCTAATAGTGCGAAGAGCCATCGTAGAAATTGTACCCCCTACACCTTACAATGAGAGAACGGCGGAAAAGGGGACAACCGTCGTGCTTACGCACTGTACTGCCTGAACAAGAAGGAGTCCTACGAATTGGCCGAGCGCGAGATTGTCTTTGGAAGGGTTGAAGTTATTTCCTTCAAATTCTCTATTACTGAGAAAAACTGTGTGACATTTACAAACCTTCCACAAGGAGGGGTCGAGGCCTCGACCAACATGCCTGTCGATGGTCTCGCGACAGAACGCGCGGAATACCATCTCCTGGAATGTTACCTTTTAATTAGCCTCTGAGCTGTAGAAAAATAACTACCACATTCAAAACCCACGTTATCGTAGG